ATCCAGGCATTCCTGAAAAGAAGATCCCAAACCACGGACCACCATCACGAGATCACCACCACGAGACCACCACCACGACCACCAACACAACCACCCGCACGGACCCCCGCCACGGACCACCTCCACGGACCAACCACCACGGACCACCACCACGGGACCACCACCACGGGACCACCACCACGGGACCACCACCACGAGACAACCACCACAAGACCACCACCACGGAACCACCACCACGAGACCACCACCGCGGACCACCGCCACGGACCACCGCCACCCGGCCACCACCATGGGGACCACCACCACGGACACCGCCACCACCACGACAGACCACCACTACCAAAGGAGCACCGCACCACGGCACCACCACGCTGTGGGACCACCACGACGAACACCACGGGACCACGGACCACCACCACGGGCATTCGGGAAAACCCCCCAAAACCCCAGCCTTTCAGCCCCAACCCCTCCGCACCCCAAAACCACCCACCCCCACCACACCCGACAGAACCCAAACCATTACAGCAAAAGCAAAAAACAAAACCCCCCCAAAACACGACAAAACTCCGGATACAAACCCTCTACAATTTCTATTAAACCCCTAAACCCTACACCGTAAAGCGTAAAACCCTGAACCCGGGGGATCCCGAAAATTCCCGGAATTTAAATTCCTAGGATTTTTCGAGAGCTGTTGCTGATATGTGATCGTGAGGCCGAACCCCCTTGAACAGCTGGCGGGCGGCGACCGTCATCGGAACTACCCTGGACCAAGAGATTTCCTTGAAGATTTCCTTGAAGGTGAAGGGGCACCCACGTCATCACTGTTACGCTGGAACCTTAAATCCAACCCGGCAAGCCCAAACCTCAATCCGGACAATTCCTAAAATTCCGGGAATTTTCAGCTCCGGGTGATTCCCAAAATTCCCAGGATTTTTAGACAAAAAGTGTTAAAATTCCCGGAATTTTCAGGATCCCCCTGCAAGGCCCTCACAAGCAGCCAAATGGACCGGAAGAGGAGGCGGGGCATCCGACGGGGCGGCCGCAGAGCGAAAATAGGGGTCGAGCCCGTAGCCTTTTATGGGGATATGAGTAACCAATATTCTAAAAATGAAGATAATATTTGAAAACTAATCCCAATAGAGATCATAATCACGAATTGAATGATGCAAAAATATTATATCTAAATACGATCATCATCAAATTCAGAAATTTGGAATTTTTGGATTTCGAATCCATGATTTTTTGAGAATTTGGAGGGATAAGAAGAAAGAATTCCTTATTTATTGGAGCATATTTGCATATCGAATGAAGATGAATATTCGCCTAGTTGGTCTTGGGACCTTTGGGAAGAAATCAAGGGGTTCATGTCCTGGTCTTGAGTTGACAAGCTGAAGCGTGAAGAGATGACCAACTTGCGAGTTTTGGTCAAATCTTCGCTTGCTGCAGTCCATGCATCTTGCTCCGCTGCAGGCGCACCTGCACATGCAAGCTGCAAAGACAAAGCTTCACCACAAGCAGCAAAACCACAGCAGAAATGGAAGCAATGCTTGATAAGCGCTCGGCGCAGTCCGCCACCAGGTACAGGGAGCCACAGATCACAATCTGCGATGCAACCTGAAAGCTGTCTGCTGGATGCTGTGTGTTGTCGACTCCTCTACCGGGCAAGCTGGGGAGGCCACGGCATCTGCCTGCGCCACCTGAACAAACTGTCACTGGCAGTCTGGCAGGGATCGGCATCCGAACCCAGGCCTCAAGGGCGGACTGCAGATCAGGACATGCTTGGGCATGTCCTGGTCACAGATGGGAGGCGCATCTCTTCTTGCTCGGAGCTTGTCTAACACAAGCCGGGGCTTCGCAGATGAGGTCTCAATGACCAGACCGAAGCCAGTATGTCGTCCGGTGCCTTGTGGTTGTCCCCAATCGTGGAGATTTAAGGAGGTTCATGGAGGTTCTAGGTCGGGCCTGCGCTTGTACCCAAGGCATTCCTTCCACTTCGGAGAAGCCCACAGTGTAGACGGCATCCTCGTACATGCAAGATCGGGCCAAAACGGTGCGGCAGCTTGAGCTGGCCTCATCTGAATGGAGTAGCTCGTGGAGGATGGCGATGGCATCCTGCACATCTCGTTGTCACAATCAAGCTCTCAACAAACATTCCAAGCATTCCACTCTAGTGACCTTGCCCGCGCTCAGGGCTATGACCTCGGGGAAGCAGATTTGTTCTGACGCTCCACACACGCGGGCTAGGCATGCAACAGAACTGCATTCAGCGGGAGCGTTGCCGCTTTTGATTGTTGCCCTTCGGCAAGCAGGGTGCTGTAACGAAGTCCAATACGACCGATGCAGCAAAACAAGAAAGGAGTGCTCTGTTGCATGCGTGATTCTGCTTGGTTCTGACTGCAAGTAAGATAACTTGCCAGTTCAGGATCCTTTGTTATGCTGGAAATTTAGGACGAGGTTGTACTGATCCCGATTCACATTCGCAGTTCCAAAATGGTAGCAGAGAGCGAGCACGACGAAGGAAGGAAAAAGCCACACATCCCAGGTGCCAAGCACAAGTCTTTTTGGCATCTTTTCGCTAGCCGAAACAGCTTGTGAGAAGTAGGTTGCGCCAGCGCACCTCCAATCTCCGCCCATCCTCAAGCGCCACAATGTACTTCCACGGTTCCGGACCTGGCGCAGCGACTTCCAGCACTTCCTATAGGCCCTGGGCTGCATTCTGCGGCCCAATCAAAGCATGTCAAAGAAAGGTTCAGGGGCCCCGCAGCCCCGTCTAACTCCGGCCCGTAAACTCCCGACGCCGAACTCCCCGTAGTAGAAGCAAACTAGGAAACCCGTCAAAAAAGGGGCTTCATGGGAAAGACCGCGAAACAAACGTGACTTCGGGGGGAAGAGTGCCGAGGCGCGCTCAGCAAGAGATTGTGCAACGCGAATAAAGCTTAACAGATTAGTCTTCTGCACGGCGTGTGTCGCTCGCCAAGTACGAGGGTCTATCAGTCTATCCTGACATAGCGGAAAGTGGGCGGACGGCAGGCACGGCAAAGCATGAGCATGCAGCCTTCGGCTTCGACGACTCCTTCAGCTTTGTTCAAGGTGGCATCCGACTCAAGGTTGCGAAGCTCGATGCCATCGCCAGCTTGAAAGGGTCTGCGCTGGAGGTGTTCTGGCCACATCAAAATCCGTTGGAGGATAGGTCCACCTGGAAGCAAGCTCAGGACATCCACGACAAGCCGTCCGGAGTCATCGAAGCCCAGCTCGCGCTCCTGTGCGCTGGATGCCCGCACTGATCTAAACTTGTCCACGTTCAGAACACGCCCACGCACATTCACTTCTGTCACAATATGTCATAACAAGGCTAACTCTGGTTCATTTCTTCGCCACACGGTTTTGAGTTTGAGCCCTGCGCAGCGTCCTCGTCGGTCAAAGAAGAGACGAGAGCCGCCCTCCCTTCGAGGCCCTCGTGCTCGGTCCCGGGCTCGAATTCTGCAGCAAGTACGACCTTGGAGTGCAGCGCAGACTGCAACAATGCGCAACTTGCGTGAGTGCAGGTTTGCTGAGTGTGTTTTTGTGTGCTCATGTCACTTAGGCCATACATTTGTGCCGCTTGACATGATCCTGCACATGATAAAGATGTTTTCAAAGGTCTTGTTCGTTTACCAGCGCAGGGGACGGCATCTCCAGGACGGTGCCGTGGAAAAATCAGATTGCGGGGCTGGACAGCTACTCGGCCCTTGCCATCCTCCAGCTCAAGGATACGCCTGCCAGGATGCTCCTCCGGACTGCAGGGGTATCTGCAAGAGGACTTGCTCAAAAACCGGACCACGTTTGGGTTCCAGACTTCAACCAATACAGAGCAGACATGACATGGAGGGTGAAGGGGCAGGGCACACTAGCCTTGCAAACGGGCGTGCCCACAACTTGGGCGAAACTGCACTTGAGAAAAGAGAGAAGGATCCACAGAGCAAGCCCCGTGCGTGCGGGGCAAGGCTCAGGAGGTCTCGACTGTCAGACTGTCATGGCAACGGAAAAACAATCACTGGTCACCGGGATCGTGGAGCGCTGCGCAGCAGCAATGGCTGCCCCTGCCGACGATGCATCCGCACTTTGCGATCGCAGGCGGCGGGCACGGGCTGGGGCGATCAGGACAGCGTCGCGTCGGGAGCCAGGAATAGCTCCGCGGACCCTGTTTCTTTAAATGGCCTTTTTGCTGGCAGCAGGTTCCATTGTGTGACTGCCCATTCTTCCCGAGGCAACATGTTGAGAAACTGCAATGCGAACAACCTGCCGGAAAACGGAGACAAGTGGTTCCCCCTGTTCCTCTGAAACTTCGCATCCTCTGTTAACTAACTTCGGCACTGCAGCGACCCAGAAGTTATGCGCTCTTGGAACAAACCTACACGTCGAAAAACATGGGGTGCACCGGGATATATACCCTTCTTGGGAACCCCCTTGCGGGGTATGTTGCAATTTCAGTCGCACGATCTTACGGTCCTGTATTGGCTGAGGCCGTATCGCCAAATGGTCTAAAAAACTAGTTGAGTTGACTGGTGTGTCGACTTGCTCCTCCATCTCCTCATCCGTGGCTTCGCACAGGGTGCCTGTGAGACCGTTCAGGTGCCCCGCCGCTTCCAGACCCGAAATCTCCACAAGGGCTCCAGGACCAAGCTCGGCGACTTGCCGGCGCTCAAGCACTTCACTCCCGAACTTCAAGAGTTTGTCAAAGAGTACAGAGCCCCTCATGATGTCCATAAGCTCTCCAGTCTTGTCATTGGACTGAAGCCAAGACCAGACCGCCTGTGGATCCGAGAGGAACTTGGCGAGGGGATCAGCTTCAGAGCCTTTAGAGCCATCCTGTGCGGCTGCAAGTTCCTGAAAAGTTTGGTTGTACTCTTTCAGCTGCGCCTCATCTTCCAGCAGTTCTTTAAGGATGCCTTGGATGTTGTTGGCGCCATCGGGCTGCTCTAAGAGCTCCCGGAAGTCCTCTGCATCAAGCGGCCTGCGCGTGCTTTGTGTGCTTTCTGTGCCCTGGGTTGCCTTGCAAGCGAGGGAAGCTCGGGCGTTCGCCGTCAATCCTCTCGGACTCCGCGCCGGCAAACGCTGCCAGAGAAATGCTGCTGCAAAGGCCCATGACCAAAGCGCAATAACAAGAATAGGAACTGCCTCAGATTTGCACTTCACTTGAGAAGCAAATGATCAAACTGCCGTGATTCCGGCGGGCACGTGGAGCTTCTTGGCATGACAGCATCTATGATACCCTGGCCACTCAGCCACTTGCACATTGCAGCCCCCAGCTAGCGTTCACCATCCTTCAACTAAATCGTGCCCTTCTGACACTCGACTGAACATCCTTGTCATCGACCAACACGTTTCAAACCGAACCTTTACATGTCGGTAGTCACAGTCACTGTAGTCGATCTGAACCCAGCCAAGATGCAACTCTAACATGGTGACGCTGACGGCGGACATCGTGCCAAGACATGCGCCCACCACCAAGTACAAAGTATGCGTTGCTTACAATGCCTCTGTTGTCACTAAAATGCTATGTTGTCGGGAAAGCTTTTGTCTCCATGAAGACTGCCGTGGGTTGCATGTTAAGCCAGCTTTTGTTGTGGCAGGAGATCCATGTCCATGCGTGTGCTAAGAAACATGTCTCACTCACCAAGCTGGCTGCCCAGGACACCGGCTGCCCTCGTGGTCGGACTGCTTTATCGACATAACCTGATGCAGTGCTGCAGCTTCGGAGCGCCAGGTGGAAATGGGAGCGAAACACGTATCCCGAGCTCCACACCTCCCAAAGCTTCCGCAGCATGCGGATTGTGCGCACCATCAAGGAGCACACGATCAGTGCCCAACTGAAGCCATTCCAAGCGTCCTGCCCTGTCAGCTGTAATGGCTGCCCTACATGTCTTGCTCTAGCAAACCTACGTCCCAGCAAGAGTTGGCTATTCGGGGCCCAGGCCACTTTGTGGCAGCCATGCCGGACGCAATGGTTCCTGGCACCGATACCGTGCCCTGATGGGAAAGCCCGAATCTGAGCCCACCAGCTCCATTGTTCAAGCTCAGGCACAAGCCGTCATCAAGCACAGACTCGTCGAGCACTTGTTGGCTGCCTGACGTGCCTTTGGAGCAGACGACCCGTGTGAGATTTGCTTGTCTGCGCCGACGCTTCTCTGAGCAGCCCTGCGCAATGCCAGGTGCTGACGTCGGAGCTCCAGCAGCATGGCCTTAGGTCTGCATCTGTGTTGCTTTGCCCTTGAACGACATTGAATGGCAGATCAAGGCCATTACCAATGCCAGGGCAGCATTGGAGCGCTGGTAGTCCCCTCGCAGAAATTCGTGATGTGCAGGTGTCGACACTGGCATCGACTCCGTCTACCCGAGTCTACCCTCTGATGCCCGCTGATGCCCTAAGTTTCCTGCCCAGCAGTGGTAGCTGAAGCTCCTCGCTGAAGCCTTCAACCTTTGTATAGAAGCGATCTCATATCAATGCATCTGACGTCACGCTGCCCAAACGAGACACTGACACGCAATCGCTGGACTTCGGCTATCTCACCTGCAGTCAGGCAACGTCTGATTGCAACCTTTAATGGCATGATGATGTTCTGGCTGAGCCTCTACTCTACTCTGAGATGCGCATGTCAGAAGACTTGGGAGACTGCATGTGCGCATATACTCCTACAAAGAGATTGGGGCACGTCACGTTTGACCTCTCTTACGCCTTCGAGCAAGCCCTACATCTGACTCCCGATGATGCAGGATGCCTTCACCCTAATGTCAAGGCAAGAGAGTACGGTTGGCCGTGAGGCGAAGAGACTCCGGCGTTTTGCTGGAAGCGGGAACTTCAGCAAGTGCTGTGTGCTTGCCGATGCGCTGTCATTCTAGACGAATGCAGAGGTGTGTATACCCAAGCAAAGGCCTGATTTAAGAATTTGGGCAACGACGAGAGATGCAGAATCTCTCTGTAAGACCCGACATGCTTCTCACGAAGTTTCGCCAATGACAGCAATGCCGGATGCCCGATGCCAATCACATTTGAAGAGGAGTGCTTTGGACCGAGCACAGCTGTGGGCACCTTGTTGGCTGGCACCCGGCGAAACCACCTTCGAATACTCCAGCCATTGCTAGACAGCATAAGGCATAAGCCATAGCAGAACCGTGAAGCACTGCGCCTCAGCTGGCTCGACCCAAGTGATGGGCCTGGCTGCAAAGATGAGGCTTTCAGTGGGGCATGGCTCAGCATGCGCTGGATGGTATATATACGGGGCCGGGTCCTATCTGACACCGCTCCATTTTCCGGCATCAAGGTCCCTAGGTATGCGGATGGCGCCCCGCCACAAGGAGCACTTCCCCAGGCACCAGTACCGGTGTGATGCTGGATTCGCCTGCCAGGGGCAGAAGCCACTTAGGACTGTCTTCCCTTCAATTCTCTCTAAGCTCAGAGAAACTGTCTTCATGGTTCACCCCGCCTACATTCATTCTTTTTGCCAAGGCGCAGCATAACTTCTCATTTCCTGGAGGAGTGCCTGGTCCGTGTCTCCTCCAGCGAGCAGCCAAGCCTCGATGGCCTTCTCCATCGTGCTTGAAGCTAAAGCACGGTTCCGGCAAACGAGTGCTGCGTGGAACGCGTCGTTTAAGGTCCGAGAGTGGAGCCATAAGTCGCCTCCCAGCTCCGTGTCGATAATGGCAGACATGCGGGAGGTGAGTCGGTAGGCCTCCGCCGGCTGGTTCCGGATAAGCTCCTTGACTTTCTGATCCAGTTCGCGAAACTCTGCCCGCAGTGCTTCGCTCTCGGCTAGCTTCACAGAAGACGGTTCATTGCAAACCTGACAGAAACAGAGGAAGTGGTGGGAGTGCTGCAACCGGGATCGGCGCCGCTCCAGCGCGCTTTCGAGATCCGGCAAGTAACTGATGCAAAGCTCCTCACCCTTCTTGCATTGCTTTGTGATGTGCATCTTCAGGACCGAGTTGCGCCTGTCCCCCCAGTACCAAACCACATTGGGCCGGCAGCTGTGGTTGAACCGGGCCCCTTGCAGAAAGCAACCCAACATCTCTTTGTTTTGGTTCTGGGTGAAGGTGTTCGTCCTGCAAATGCCAATAGCTGTTTTTGTCGAACCGGTGCAGTCCTGGAGATCCCAAAACTGCTGCTGGGTGATAGCATCCAGTTTGGAAATCATCTGCCGCAAATCAGCTTCGCATACCTCCCGCCGATCTTTCTCCAATGGAAGTTTGCTCCTCTGGACCAGGAAAGCTGCTGGCTCCTTACATGCACTCTAAACTCAAAATCCAAGTACGGTCATCGCTTGTGCAACCCACATCAAGCCAAGCATGTCTTCTTGCAGAAGCCAAATCAGAGGAGCGTCACTCAGAATGCATTCGCCCTTCTCCAAGTCGCACAGCGCGCAAACCCCAAGCCCTCTACCTGGCAAGGGTTTAACCTCCCACTTTGGCTCGGCCATGACTGAAGCCGCAGAGCCCGAGGCTGTACGATTGCATTATGGTAGGATTGTAGGCCTGTCGGATCGGTTGACGCATCACATCTCCAAAAAACAGCAGTTTGTCAGCTGCGACTAAAGAGTTCTCTTTGTCTTGAAAGGCTTGCGACTTGAGAGTAAACGGTGCTGCGGCCACTGCTTTTGTGCTGTCTGTGGCAAGCAGATATCATTGTGAGGCAGTCGTTTTAAATTTGACAGCCTGCTAAAAACTTGAGAAGGCAAAATGAATTGACAATTGATGTCCCAATCAGGCTGGCTAGACCGTGAGCCCACCGCTTTCGCACAGTCGGTGATGACTTTCTTCACCTTGCTCTTCGATCTACTTCGTAAGAAATTTCTCTCGTTGTTGCTTGGTTGTTGATTAGGTGAGGGTGGATGCTGCAGCATGCGGTAGCTGAGCCAGCCACACTCTCTGACATGCCCGACGCAGCCACGACAGCAGGGCGATCCAGCTGAAATATCCCTGCCTGAGAACGATGATACTGAGATGGTCCTTGTGAAACACGTAATGCCGTGCAAAGGTCACCAGCTGCTCAGACGTCTGCCTTGTGACTTGCTATCTCTTCTCGCGTCGAACCAAGAAACTTCTCATGGTCCATCGCTATGCTCGAAATGGCACAGACCTCAGGGAAGGCGCTTTCCTCGTATGATTGACAAAAGCACCCCATTTGGCTGAACGAGCTTTGCTGCAAAGGCGTCATGGCTTGGTCATCACCCGCTTTCTGAAATATTGATGCCGACCATATCTGGTCTTCACTGCCTCGTAATTACCTGCATCCTGGACAAAACTGTGGAAACCAAGATGATGCCAAGGCACAGCTGGCTGAATCAGGACGTTCGTAGCATCGTCACGCCCGCCCATGCCAACCTTCGACGGCCCAGTGGGGTGCCCAGCGGAATGCAACTTCCCAGCCCGAAAGGCCAATTACACAGTCAACGCTTGGTCAACGAGCAGAATGTGTCCGGACACTCGTTTCTACCAACTCTAGTGATGTATCGCCCTTGCGCGTCCGATGGCGATTTCTCTTGCGCACGTGCTCTGTCGCAACGTCGGATGAATCCACACAATTACTGGTACAAGTATGATGGACTCACAATGCCCGCTGAAGGAGCCTGCGCTCCACCCATTAGCGAGCCAAAAGAAGAGGTCAAGTTTGCCACCCCATGCATGTTCTACGGCCGAACCGAATGCAGCACCTGCATAACATACTGGTTTCCACACTCCATGGTGGCCCCACCCCAACATGAAATAGATCTGGCATGTGCCCGCCCGCGCAGCCTCGATAATGGCCATGTCGACCTGGCGCAGGTTGTGTCTTGTAAACATGGTGACACAAAGATGACCGTGGTTTGCAGGACGTACAGTCCATCAGTCGGCAAATGTCTCATGCTCTCCCATGCCTTCTGTCGGGCAAAGAGGGTTAGCGCCATGACGACTTGCAACTCAAACGTTGTGAGGGTGAGCGTCCTGTGAGCAGTGGCTGTTGCTGTGTTCTGCTTTGTCAATGCGGCAGGGGCTTCTTGGGAGACGGCCCTCCGAAAACCACAAGACAATGCTAAACAATGATACAAGCACGTCAGACTCCAGACGACGTGGTAGGCGGGAGGTTCAGGAAGCATTCTATTCACACCCGCTCAGGCTTCATGAGCGCGGCCAGACTGGCTCAAGCAAATCTTCAGTCTCTGCCTGGCGGCTTCTCCGTCCGTGAGCCCGCAGGTTTGAGCGATCTCAAGCTGGAGAGACGTAAGCTGCTCTTTGGAGAAGTCTTTGTCCTTCATCGTACTCTGAAGGCTTTGTTAGACTGTTTGAATGCTAAGCTAGGCTGGTCACTGTAGGTCAGAAGTCAAAACATGAGTGGATATCACTGATATCCTGGCCGTCTTCTGCCAAGCGAAAAGAATCAAAGGGCTCCACAAGATGAGGAGATGTAAACATAGCAACCCGCAGTCTTGCCTGCCTGAGCGTCCCAACATTTCGTGCAGAGACGAATCGCTGCAGAACACACTCGCTTCGTGCCTCAATGCCGAGAAAAGCATAGCGCAAACCTCGGCATCGGCTCTCTGGACATCTCCTTACGACTCTCTATATGATTTCGTGCTGCTACTGAGTGGAAGCTAAGGCAGCTAAGGCACGCTCCCCTTACCGTTCGTGCCAGCCACGTGTAGCACGCGGCCCGCAAGCGACTGCTGAGGAGAACCGAGGCGCTCCAGGGCAGCTCTGACCCGACCCAGGCCGGGGTCGATCTCGCCACGTGGCATGGCCGACATGGCAGGGAGTTTTGCATCAGCCCTCGACACTTCCCACGAGAGCACGCATGGAGTTGCATATTTTATGTTGCTGGAGTCGAGGCTTTCGAGTTTTGTCCTCCAGGGATCGCAGTTCTTACGTCGCCTCTGTTGGGCTATGCCGGGAGTGTGGCTTCTCAACTCTCTAGGACCCGAGGAGCCTAGGACGCTGGAGCCCCAATGCGACGATGCAACATGCAACTCATGGCAAAGTTGGGTCTGACATTGGTCTGCCCTCCGCCACACGCCACAGGCCCATACAGCAGGCTTCGCCTACTGCGGCTCCCCAACTCCCTTCAAATCCGCATGGCAGGCCCCACACCGGTCCCACATGGACCAGAATTTAGAAACCCGAGCATCTCAAGCAAACTCCCACAAACCGGCTTTAGGAAGTGCAGGGCTAGCCGCCCGGCAGGGGCATGCCGGGCATGTTTGCTTGCACATTGAGGTGGCGATCAAGCTCGAGCAGGCATGTGGTGTCTTTCCGGCTGGAAGTGCTCTGATGTCACCAATGTCACCTACCCTCCACGGAGGAGATGCCACCAGCGTAAGACCTGAGCTTGCGAGGATCTCTCGGCTTTGGTCAACCAGCAAAGCAATGCACACATCAAAGCTGACTCGAGCTGCGGGCACCCAGTATCGGCCGCGTCGCAGGGCCAACTTTACATGCCTGCGAGGTCGACAGGCAATACATTAGCTCAACGTTCGCCGATACAGTACAGCGCCGGCCTGAGAGGTATCCCATTCCTCAGTTCGTCATTGCATCTGCAAACGATGGATTACACCGTCTTTGCTGAGTTCAACTCCGAAGTCCAGCACGCGCATGCTGAGCGCAAACTAAGGAAGCGGCTCGTCGGCGTATGCCTGCAGGATCTCGCGTATCTCCCTGCCAATACGAAGAGTAACTTGAGCAACTGCTACAGTAGCATATGTCAGGTGACGACAAGCATGTGGAGGCGTGGCACATCTCAATTCTCAAGAGGCGTTTTCCACTCGGGGCCACAGGAGGTCAACACAAAAGGGCCAGAGAAGGACTTCCGAGCCGACTGCCGCCTCCGTCGCGGAGCCTGTGATCGCATTGAGTTGAAAGTGCACATCCGACTGTAGAGCTGAAGGCCGGGAGCGCAGGCTCCGAGACCATTCTGCCTTCTCACTGGTCTTCACTTCGACCTTTGATAGAAGGTGGATTTGAGTTGAAGAAGGCATACGGGAGCTGTTGGTGCAGAACATGAAGTGCACCAGCCCTAAGCGGATCTGCAGTGCAAGGCTTTGTGTGCCAACATGCCGGAATGAGGCCACGTGCATCAGGAGCTCCAGCAAGAACCTTCTCCGACAATAGAACGGATGCATGAGTGCATAGACAATCGCTGCAAAGGCATCATCCGACAACGATTCGAGTGGCCCAGCGAAGATTGCGTGCTGCAACACGTCTCGAAGTAACTCGTGCTTGAAGTCGGCTTTGGCAGCAGCCAAGGACAGGCGAATGGCGGTGGGGCGCAGCAGGTGGTGAACGGAGCTGCCGGGACTTGTAATTCGAGTTATTCGAGTTTCCAAAACAAATTTCCACAGCGCTGTAGGTGGCTGGACCAGCAGTTTTGCTAGTCCATGTAGGAGAAGTGCAAGGTGGTCAGGCGAGCATTCTTTCAAGAAGTGACCATCTTTGGAGTCTGATACCACGTCGAGGATTGACATAAGCGGTGCTTTGCCACCATCGACCAAAGGCAGGTCGAGCCTTAGGTCAAGCCTTGCGGCAGAGTGCACCACAATGCACAGCTCTTCCGGCGGCCACTTGGCTAAATGTGCGGCCACAGCCGATGAGAGGGCGGCGGCAAGGTCAGCACCAACGAAGCCACGTCTCGAGAGTGCAGAGATCACCATCACCACCTCCAGTGGTTTCAGCCTTGACACACCCTTTTGGGCACAAAGGCCATCTTCGAGGTCAGAAGTTGCCTCGTCGGCCCAACGTGGCAGCTGAGAAGTCCCGTGCACCAACGGTTCACCGCCATCTCCAAATCGTGAGAGCGCATCAATGGCCAGAGCCATCTCCAGTGGCAGCAGGACTCCTTCTGACAAAAACGACCGCATCTTTGGCAGCAAAGCCTGCACGAGAGACTCAGCACCTGTGCCCCCTAGCCTGGTCACTGCATGGGCAAAGCCTGCAATTCCACGGGGCTCAAGTTCCAGCACGCGACGTGGACATTCTTCTTCAAGCAGCCTCTGGACGAAGCTTCCGTCGTGGCATGACAAGCGGACCATCGAACTCAACAGCACGCACAAATCCTGTGCGGAATAGCCCTTCTTCGGTACCATGTCCAGAGCAGTCAGGGCCTCTGAAAACCAGATTTCCTGGCGCACCCGCGCATGCGACAATGCATTCACTAACATCGTCAAATTCCTTGCCGACATTTTCGCCAGGTTAGGGACAAAGTGTTGTGCGATGCTTTCCCATTTCTCCGTGCCGACGTCTTTGGCTGACTTGCTGAGCTCATTCACGCAAAGGCTTGCCTGATGCAGGGGGTGCAGCCAAGGCGGCTTTGACACTTGAAGTCATGAGTTACAAGGTATCTGGGGCATACAGTAACATACGCGCATCAGCCCTCAACTCTGCGGTTGACTTTCATTCAGCTTGTGCAAACACGTTGATGGCAATCGGCCTCGATGAGGACATCGCTTTGGGGATTTTGGGTGGCCGTCAGTGCATCCAACAGGCGTGATGCTGCAGTATCCTTGCAAAGCCTCTTACTCCGAATCGAAGCTCGCAAGCCTCGCAGCCCAAACATGCATCTCCAGAATAAGGATGAGCAGCGTCCAAATCTGGTACTGGTGATATCGGAGGGCTAGCACTTCGTTGACAGTGCGACTGCTCGCATTTGCGAACCATGCGCAGAAACTGCAATGCTCTAGTGCTCTGCAGCCTGTCTGTCTAAGGGGGTGCTCCAGGCTTGACCCGTGTACAGCCTGCGTGACCCATCCACAGTGAGTGGCAAGAACCTGACTCTGCAACTGCCTGCACCTGCCATTTGTGACAAAACATCTGAGCCCCGGAGCCACAAAGCCGGCCTCTTGTCCTGTTCGCCAACAGCTTCGCGGTCTTGCAGCTGCCACCTCGTCTCTTGGATCACTCTCTGGAGCTGATCCCGTCCGCGGGTAGAGCTCTTCGCTGGATTCAGATTGTCGTGAATCTTATTGGGGTACCAACTTGCGCGTGTAATTATCTTCTTTTGACTGAGACCCTAATCCGGTGCAACTTCTCGGTCAACCCGCACACGAAGGGATACTCCAACGGCTCGCATGAGCTCAACACCTGAAGGTGGTTGCTTCCTCACCAATGAACTGCCAGGGTGTGCCTCTCGAGCTGGCGCACTGCAAACTTTTCAAGAATGCGCTGCGGACGCGCCTGCGTTGACCTGAAACGCGACCTGTTCGCCAGTCGCTGCTGTTGGCGGCAGCACCTGCTTAGATCACAGCCCACAGCGGGAGACAGAGGGAGCAAATCAATAGAATGCTCCCCTTCAGGGCTCTGGTGTGCTGGGCCCAAGAGAGGCTGCCGGTCCCCTCCACAAGTTCCACAACTTCACACTCCCTTTTGGTCTGGAGCGGGTTGGCAGGTTGCCGGGGAAGTGAACCCCTCAAACCAACTGCGGCTTCCATGACTTCGTGCACACTTGCTTTCCATGACGCTTCGAGGGTGACCTTTACAGTCAGAAAGCCGCCGAGGAATGGAACGCGGGCTTAAGAGCTATGGTACGGATGAAACAACAGCCGACAGCCCGGCGCGCCCTAGCTGTGTGGCTGGATGAGCCTGGATGGCCATGCAGTTTTGCATGGGCTTCGGAAAACCTTCTCAACTCGCACTCTGCATGGACTGAACTGGAGCATAGCAAAAAGACAAGATCTATACACAATACTGTCGGAAACCTGATTTCCAAACCTCCACACGAGATCCTAGTATGTGCCAGCCTCCAAGCCATTCACTATAAATGGCCAAAGCCATCGCGGTCTGTACATACGCCGAAGCACGTTGGCCCCGAGGAAGCCGTCATGGGTCCCCGAAATAAGCATCAGGACTGCTGAGACGAGAACTGGGCCAACCGGGTGTTGAGATGTGTTGAGACCCATCCTATCGCGCCCATGGTGCCGTCTTCCTGTCGGCCTATCACGGCAGCGAAGATGCACGCCAAATCACAAGACCTCAGATGGCTTCTTTCGTATTTACCGCATGGGGGCTTCACCACAGCAAGCTGATTGAAGGATTGCGAGATTTTGTTCTAATGGCCTGTTGGCGACTTCCAAAGCTTTGGCCGCGCAATGATGAGGCTGCACTGAGCCTGAGGGAAATTTCACAGGGGTGCTGCAGTGGCTAGGCAGGTGCACCATCATGTACGCGACTTCCCCGTCCTCCTTGATGCACCACCGTGCAACGTGACCCAAAGTCGTCGGCGCGTCCGCTGCCGGAGACCCAGGTTCCGATGCAGAGACAGGAGACGAGGGGTCTGCACCTCCTGTCGCCGCACAAATGGCCCAACAAAAGCGCACGTACTCTCTGGACTAGATACTGTGTCACAAGTGTACACAGTGCCTTCGGAGTTGCGCCCCCGTGCTCCAAAAACCAAAAAAGCCTGCTGTCCTGGCAGCAACGTAGTGAAGATGATTGGCAACATTGCAGATAACAATTGGCACCGCCGAGGGTCAGGCGAAATCGACACTGCTGAGCCGTGTCACTCAGATCATCGCCATGCACATCCGCTGTCTCATCCAACTCTGTTGGAATCACAGCGTACTCAACCTGCCCGGCAACTTGAACCCTGCAGCGCTGATTTATGAGCTGCGACTGTTGTGGGCCTTCTTGTCTCGCATGACTGCCTGTAGCTGGTCTGTACACAGCCTGCGGCACTACGAGTACATAGCTGTAGCCACACGACGCCACATGCAGCTCTCACGGGATCTCAGGATGCAGGACCACACGGGACATGCAGGACGCCAAGCGCTCATTTGATGGCTCATGAAGGCCCATGATGGCTCATGGGCCTCTCCACTGACTCGGTGAACTCGGGCGGGCCGAACACTCGACAAACGATTTCATCCTGCGCCCACGAAGGCGTGCACAGCATTGCGCAGCAAGGGAGCAAACTGCTGATGAGATGAGTGGTGCTGTCTGATGCTAGGGTCCTTGTCGGGACGGGCCCACTCAGTGCTTATCTGGAGAGCATATCTAGAGTGGAAGCTGCCGTCCACCGCCTGAGATGACTGTAGACTGACTGTAGCTGGCATATGAAGGACACAGTGGCGGCAAGATTTTTCATTCCGTCAGTAAGGAATTCCTTTGTAAAGGGGGTACAGGCACATTGGGTCCGCGAAGCCTAGATCATGGCCACCAATCATGGCAACCTTTCCCGGCCGGGCTGCCACCATGAAGACCGTTGCCAGCTTGGGGTCCACTCTGCAGCCAGGCCGAATGAGCACCACTGTACATGGTGCCTCGCAGGGATCTGTTGACAGACTCGGACGCCGAGCAGCTACCTAGCGGACTCAGAAACAACGGCAATGTGAGGGGGTGGCGAATTTTGGGCTTGGATTCTCGCCGAAAGTCTGCGATTTCTTACAGACAACAGCCAGAACGCCTCCAAGGCGGCAAGGTGGGCAGAGGAGCCCAGCGTCGTCCTCTGGAAGTTCAAGGAGCCTGTCTCCTGCAACGGCTGGCACTGGCATCTTTCTTGACATCGTCTGACTGCGTGTGATGGCGTCCTTGCGGCCTGTGCTCCCCATCACCTGAAAAGACTGAAAAAGCACGCAGGATATGTAGCTGCCCACGGGTCTTGCTTACAAGCAAGCTCTGTCAAGTGGCTAAAACGTCCGCGCTCGAGCGCGCAGCAAAGTTCACGATCATACCTAGGATGTCAGACTCTTGGTCACGGGATATCGATATGCTGGGAGGTCCTGGGCTGAGACGGTCTGGTAACCCCATGTGGTTTTTCTGAAATTCTGAAAGCTTCCGAGAGCTCGAAAGACGGAGTGCCAGCCAATGCGGTGCTGCGCTGGCCCCTCCGCCCATCAACAGCCTTGCTGCCATAGGAGACAAGTTGCGCGAGATTTTAATGGCTTCGGCCTTCTCCTGCAGAAAGAGGTACATATCAAGAGACAAAGGTGGGGGCTTAACGCTCTCGAATTTTTTATGGGCCTTCTGGTGCACTGTCATGAGCAGCTGGCCGTTGGTGGAGCTGTAATCCACCTCTTCAGGTTGGCTTTCTCCTCTCGTCTATTTAGGAAGGTTGAGGCCACATGCAGTAATTAGGGCTCAGATGTTTCGGCCTACGCGCACCTTTTCTGGCCCTACATGCAAGGCACGATGTTTTGATCGCCGGCAGTTGCTTACGTCAACCTCCGCCGTGAGCTGGCAAGGAGCTGGGTTAACACGCTGCTGTTTTTTCTTCGGCTTAGTCACAGCACCATCAGCACCTTTCATGCAGCTCGTGACTGTGGATGCCCGCGTCACCGCGGCACCACCAGCAGCAGCTTCAACAACAGTGGCTCTGAAGTCCGAGGGACTGCATCAAAAAGTCAGGCTCCGCCTCCGCTTCCTCCTCCTCTTCAAGGAGCGCTTCATCGCTGTCTAATTCCTTTGCTCGTGCCAGCCGAGCGGCAGCCCTTTCATGGTGCGCAAGTTGAGCGTGCTTTAGGGCAGATCTGCCCAGGCTGTCAACAGCCTTCAAATTGGCCTTGTGCTCGATGAGCAGTTTCACCACAGCTTCATGGCCAGCCCGCGCGGCGCAAATAAGGGGCGTCCAGCAGTCGCGATCTGCTGAATTCACCCAGGCTTTCGACTGAAGCAACTCTTCCAGAACAGGGCTGTGGCCTCACAGGACATGAGTTGAAAAGAGAGCTCTACTCGATGAGGGCCCCATGTCACCCCACCGCGTTCTGCGCTAAGGATTCTAGCGCTCTCGCCTCCATACGCCGCAATTTGCAGTGGCGTCTCGCCGTTCTTGTCGCTGCAGTGAGCATGTGCCCCAAAACGAAGAAGAAGCTTTGTACCTGATACTGGCCATGCAAATTAAGTGCAAGACTGGAAGGGCCTGGTGAGCAGTCAAGACTGAGTGCTGGCCGAACATGACGACACCCTGTTGGAAAAGGTGCAGAGCTGTGGGTCTTGCACCATGTTGTCATGACAGGATGCAATGAAGGTGGCCGGCTTTAGCAGCGAAATGCAGTGGCTGGCGGAACTTCACATCCTGGGTCTGCTGCTGCGGATCCTGAGCAGTGATCGGAGATCTGCTACCGCGAAAGGGGACCCACTCAAGCATCTCGAGGTGCGGAAATGCGAAGCGAGGCACTGCCTGTGCCCGAAGGAGACATTCCAACAGATCAGAGCTGCCGAAGTGCGCATAAACGTGGGTCAGCTGGCAATGCCCGCAGGACGGATTCTGAACCCAGACCTGCCGATAGTTCTGATAAGAAGCCTATGGGCCTATGGGTCTATGCCTTAGAAGGTCTTATGCACAGCACATACCCCACATACCTTTCACTTGCCCAAACTTCGTCGGTGCCTCGTGCAGGGGCGGTAGATCTGCGGCGACAATGCAGCTAGAAAGGTGCGCCAAGTCATCGGGAGAACACTGGGCACCCAATCCAAGATATCTCAAAGCGACTTTGAGGTCCGCTTTGGACAAGCTGAAATGGAAAACCGGGGTCGCCAGCAGTCTGCATACACCAGCATCAAATTCGGTAAACCAGGCTTTGCCAAAACCATGGATGTTGCAGACTTCCATTTCGAAACGTGTGCGAAAGATGTGGACAGGGAAAGCAGCTTTCACAGACCCGTTCATGATCTTATGCCAGATGTTGATCTTGTCCTGCAGATCACCTCACGAATGCACAAGACCCCGAACGATTCCAAGACTTGTTAATGGCACATGCCGAAACACACGCACACATGGGAACACCTGAGCCCGATACCGACAGTAGTGTACCAACTGTGCCGAAACTAGAGGATCATGATGCGCAACATTGGATTATGGGGGCGCTGCTACGCCAAACACGAGGAAAGGTGGCGAGATGAAAGACGACCGACATGACTGAATGCCCTCGATTCAACTCTATTTAGCTGCCGAATGCCAGGGCAGACAATGCAGGTTTGTCGATCGGGTCCCACCCTCCTCCCCCACCCTCCCAGTCTCCCACGGATGAAAACGGCACCTTCGTAAAGGGAGCGACCCCTGCACCTGCGCTTATCAAGGTGGTGTGCACACACATACGTGCCCCCGCAAGGACCCATTGTAAGGCGGGCACTGGAGCGAGCGTCAAAGGCACTAATACTCTGCAGCTCCTCTGCTACAGTGAGCGCGAACTGACCGGAGACTTCCAGCTCCTCCTCTGTGGAGGCGCCTCGAGGGAAAGCGATGTGCTTTGCAGGAAAAGCAACCTGGGAAACCCTCGGCCTTCGGCACAGTCGGTAATTAACCGAAGGTCTTTCGCCAGCTCCCAGGCGCGCTGGACCTCGGCAAGGTTGCTGCCCCAAACGCTAAGAATGGACTCTCTCGGCACTCTCCGACATTCTCTCGACACATCCGCGGGAAAAGGGTGTTGTAATGTGTTGTGTGTTGTTGTGCCAGTTGCCTCATACAAGCACCAGATCCTCCTGAAGGGCTCCACCCTCGCATCCAGAACCATCACGACTCCCTGCTTCGACTTCGAGAGGCCATATGCGAAGGGCATTCGGGCCAGTTCGCATCCTGCAAGTTCCCCTTTCAGATCATGCTGGTTCAAGGCGAAAAGGCAAATCCAGAAGGCAATCTTCTTGGTGTCGCCTGTGCAGCGCTTGGCACAGGAGTTCAAAGCAACCAGCGTCTTCGTGAAGGGGTGTGACCAAGAGTGGCTCACAAAGAAGTCGCACCGCAAGCCGGTTCCATTCATCAGCTGGGCAAAGGACACGCTGTGGACTGGCCGTCCAGGAATTAAAGCTCTTTCCAGCACCTGCGCTGGGATGGAGAAAGCCTGAGCGGGAGCGCAACGGCGAACTACAAGACCTGGGCCCCCCCGAAGCCCTTGCAACCCTGGAACCTCATGCAAGCTCCCAAGAACACCTTGCCACACTCTCCTGCGAGGCACAGCATCGGCCTTATCCTGACCAGCGGTCGCGGGCCTCACAAAGAAGCGATCCAGTGCGTAAAGGTCTTCCTTCACCTGACCTTGGAGCGGCCCAGTCAGTTTGAAACGAGGATCACTTTGACTACTGGTGGGCAACCGTAGTCTTGCAGGAGTTGTCACTGAGCTTGCAGCGGCAATAGTAACATGGTGACACATGCCCAAGAATGAAGCAATGAGGCACATGCCATTTTCAGAGAGTTGTCGACACTCGTTCGCCAACCATCCATCCTCGGAACTGTGGCGTGGTAAGCGCACGTCACGAAATAAGCCAGGTTGAGAATCACGAGCATCACTCAGTGCCGTGTGGAGGCGAGTTGGCCACAGCCACATGCATTGCTGATGGTTTGCAGCTGCCCCAACCTGTGACATTTGACTCTGGCACCCGTTGCTGCAATCCCCGCTGGTGGTTCAACTGGGCACGGAGCCGCAAGCCACGAAGTGCAAAGGGAACAACGAGGGTGGCCTGCAGAGATCCGCACAATTCTTGCACAGCGATCACAGTGCTGACGGAAAGCGCTACGGCTACAGTAACAGTTAACACTCGATTCTCGGCTGCATTCGTTTGCACGGGAATTCCTTCGTGGGAAGGTCATGGAAATATCTGCCTTGGAGCCATTGCTTTCGAGCTCACGAGCCAGAGCGTGAAATTCGGCTCGTGTAAGGCTTTCGGCGCACGGCCCCTTGGCCTGTAGGCCCAAGCCTGAAAGACGGACAAGAAGCAGCATCCGAGCATCAAACTCCCGAGAACGCTCATGCTCTGCAGGCCTGATAAAGCCATCCGGATCTCCTGGGGCAAATTTCAGCAAAATCAACGACTGTCAAGGTATGTCAAGGTCTGGTGATTTCTGGTGACATGTCTTCGCCTCCTGGCAGAGGCGACCTTCTCCTTCCAAGTCACAGGCATCGAAAACGGCATCGATAAGCCTCGGCACGCACGACGCTGACAGTCTGACATGGTGCCTGCATGGCCATGTGAGTACATGCCATGATCAAGCCTTCAACATTGTCTACGATTTGCCCACGTTCACCCAAAGTAACTTACGTAGGTATGCACCATTTTATTCCACACTTGCTCCCCTCACTTCCTGCAACATCGGAGGATGCAAACATGGGCACCGGCACAAAAACTTGCAACATCTTGCTGCACTCTTGCGGACACGCCGCTCCGGCTGTGCTGCCAGCTTTCCCACACCCGCGGCAGATCCCATGGCGATTGGCAAGCTTCAGTCAGTAGGGAGTTTGGGGGTCTCTCGACAACACCTGTAATCACAGCAACGTCTCACATGTGTCACGTTCAATGCGGCACCATGTCGGCTGAAGAGCCGAATCAGCCCAAACATGCCATCAAAACCCGGCCATTCTCATGCCGTTTCCGGGTTCAGACATGATTCAGGACTCGCCTCGTCCATCTCCCCGCTCTTCTGCTGCGAAAGGATGTGAAGGCCTCGCGCTCCTTCCAGCTCCTTGTGTTGAGCGAACCGACCTTCTGAGGCGTACAATCCGCACAGTGTTTACACGATAAAATACAATGAGTAAATGTACACCACTGATCACTGTTGGCACGCTCCTCTGCCAGGCGTTTCTGCAGGTTGTCAAACTCAAACTCATCCAATGCCCCATACCTGTCCAGGTGCAACAGCGAGCAAAAGCAGCAACAAAAACAACAGCACAGCAACAGCACACCTGCCAGGATTCCGCACATGATACACTAGCCTGAGCCAAACCAGTAGTCAGATCCGAAGCTTGTCACAAAGATGCTCACGCGCCGCCCTTCACAGCACCACATGCTTTGCGGACCCAGGGGTCCCGGCAGCTGATCCCCAGGCCGGGATAGAACATGGATGGTCGCCCGCAAGGCAAGCGTTCCCAACCTGAGACTTACACAGAACTCCCGGCCACTACTTGCCTCCTCGCATTATCACATCTTTCAGGACAACGTTGGACAGGGCTATTGTCGACGAAAGGACTCGCTTCCATCCCAAGCTACCAGGAATCGCATCCTTTGAAGTCAGGGGCAGTTTATGCAAGGCACACTCACACACTCTCAACGTGCACGAGAAAGCTGCACAGCCAGCCTAGCTCGGGAAGCTCCCCAAGGGAGGAGGACATGCCGAGGAATAAGTGAGAGCTGGTTAATGGCTGCGGATGTGGGGCGTTGCAACGTGCTAGGCTGAAATCTGTCCAGCGGCGGCATCACCATGCACTCGCTGTCACTCGCTACATTCTTGCCTCCGGCCGTTCCAAGACTTCTGGAATTGGTACGGAGCCCTGGCAGTAGACCAGGTGCAACAAGCTGCTCTCGGTATGCTAGGGCTTGCCGCTTGCCTTCTCCCTGGTGTTTTTGCCAAACTTGCCCCCAGCTTTGCCCCCAGCTTTGCCCCCTCCTTTGCCTCAGTGCAGAATGGTCGGGAATTCATGTCGCGAGGGAGAAGCGCATCATTCGAAGTTGCGGCAGAAACAGAAAGAACTTAAGGAAGTAGCTGTAGCCGTCGCCTTTTCCAGCAAAGGCCCCCTGTTGCAGGTTGGCATTTCCCGAGCAACAACTAAGCTCCGCATAGCTCCGCAGTTCTCGAGCTTCAGCCTTGCCCAAGGATTTGCCAAAGCCTTTCTCGGCCTGAGAATGTGCTACTGCTGTTCCACACAGCGCAAGATGGCGGAATGAAGCATGTATAGATTTAGACACCCTGGCTTTGCATGCCTTTTCTGTCTTGTGCAGCATTCACGCGGTATGGTACAAAGAGTTGGACTCTGCTGCCTTTTGCTCATGCTAAGTCTGCTAAGTCGACCAGCCAGGCGGAGGCTTTGGATGGACTCGTTCCACATGTGTCAGGAACACTTCCGTGTTGTACCTGAGAGCGCTGCAAGGCTGCCCGAAGCTACAGCACAGTACTCTGAGCATCTCTGAGCCACTGAGCTACAGCGTCCTTAGGCGAGTAAACGCCAAGACTCGACGTGGCTCTACGAGTACCATCGGTCAATCTCGTGGCTCAAAGCGACGGTTGGGTTCAGCCAAGGCGCTCGTACGTGACAATCCATCTTTGGCACGGCCTGCAGTAGATGCCCGTCCCGTTGGACTTCAGTGCTCCGGCATAGGGATGATCAAACGCTGCATCCCAGCACGTCCTTTTCTGCTTCACTGCTGCTTGAATTGCACCACGATCATCCTCCTTCTTGGCTACGACGGCTTCTGATTTGGGTGCTGCTCTTGGAGCTTCTGATGACTTTCTGGGCTCGCTGAAGTCAAAGTCCGCAAAAGGATCGGGCTTCTGGACATCTGGCGTGACCTGCTTGGCCTGGGTTTCCTGGGCCTTTGGGGCTGGGTACCCGCCATTTGTCTCGCTCTTCTGGTCCGCCTTCTGCTCACCTTTTTGGTCCTTCGGCGGCTTAGCTTCTTGCTTGGCCTCGGCTCTGCTCTTGCCGGCGTCTCCGCTGAAGTCCCCATGCGCCTCGCGTTCGCGCTGCTCCGCAGCCAGTCGCTCCTTGCGACGCCGGTCTCGATCCTTCTGGTCTGCCAGATCAGTTTCCATCTGCTGCAAGAACTGCTCCGCCAGTTGAGGCACTTCACCCACAGCCTCAAGCAAAGCAGCGCACTTGTTCTTGATGTCCTGAACGAAGCGATGCTGGCCGGCGAACGAGGCCCGCCGCAACCAAAGCGTCGGTCTATTCGCTATGTCACTATGTACCTCTAATCATATACATATTTTGTGAAAATACGAACCTAACACACGGACCGACATGCTATGTATGGGGCCTGTGTGGACCTAAGATGCCCTACCGGCCACCATCCAGCTACGCACTGCAGCCAAGCGTCAGGCGAGCCGCTCCTAGCGATGAGGCGATAGTTGAAGTGCATCGCCAGTGTCGACAACGTGGCTTGCACGTCGGCTAGGGCAGCTACTGACAAAATCTCTGCCCCCTGCTTCAAGAACTTTCTCAACTTCGCTTCAGCACCTCTTGTATCATCATGGCCTGATGGCACCGTTGACTGAAAGTCTGTCATGTGAATCAAGAACCAACAGATCACTTCTCGCTCTGTTTGGTAACAAGTTTCGAAGCGTTTTGATTTCACTTGCCACGAACCGCTCGACAAAGAGGCGCAGGATGTTCAACGCAGGCTGCGCGTTGGACTTCCTTATCTCTGTCAGCGACAGACGGAAAAGGCTGACAGCAGTCGTAACCGTAAGGTCATGCAGGGCTATGCGGCTACGTGAGGCTCTGTCCCCTATCATGGGTCCAGCCCTGCCAATCCAAGCATCAAGTTTTTGTCTCCCACAATCTCATCCCTGGACTTTTTGGCTCGTTCCCAGAGCCGGACTGTGTTGTCGTGGACATCCATGCGGAGCTTCTTGATCCTTTCGTTAGGTGGCAGTCCTTGGCTCGTTGTGGATCACGGGAGCCGGGAACTGCGTCCTTTATAAGGCTTCATCAAGTGCCTCTCTCGGGACCAAGGCAGGCATCGGTTCTTCTCCTCCTCCTCTTCTTTCTCTTTCAGCTTCCTGGCTTCCTGTTGATAGCAAGAACAAGCGGCAAGAGAGCCGCCCATCATCGTGAGAAATCTCATGCATAAATTAACGACCTCGCCTCATCCTCAGGATCCTCCTCGTTGTCCTTCTTTCCGTCTTTCCCCTCCTCGTCGTCCTTCTCTAGGTCAGTGAGGCGCTCCTGATTCCAGACCACAAGTCAGAGACACGGCACTTCCGCATGCGGGAGCACTCCATGTACAACCGCTCCTTCATCTCCTGTAGCTCCTGAAACTTCTCCGGATCGCCACCTTTATCCGGATGAAGTTCTAGAGCCATCTTTTTGTACATGGCGTTGATGTCCTTCATTGCGCGGGAAGCCAGGCGAAGCTAGTCCTGCCCTTGAAGCAAGAGCAAAAGATGAAATGATGCCTCTCGTGCTCCAAGTTTCGTTCATGCTGGAATCCGGTGGCAGGCCCAGAAAGGCAAGGGCCGAACGCTTCTGTAAGCTCTTCAAGTTGGCATTGACTGAGTCCCGCCACTTCTGTATTCTGCTGACCTGCACAAGACATACAAGAACCCGTCATCATCTGACCCTTTTTGAAGTGCAGGAACTACTGAGTGGCCTCGTCATCCGTCTCCTCCATGCTGGCGGACTCGGACAGGGAGCAAAGCTTGCAGAAACTTCGGGGGTTCGTATGGCACATGCTGTCACAGGTTGCGCCTCCATGTGCTCATCCAACTCGTTTGTGCTCATGGTGATCTCTGTTGCCACCGAATCGACGTCCAACGACCCCAATCTCTGGCGAAGTTCAGCCTCTGTGAACAGCCGCATTGGCTGCTTAGAGTTCCTCAGAATAACTTCGAGTGCTTGAGGCGGACGCCTTACAACATGTGCACTACTGCGAAAAGCCGCGATCGCTGCAGAAAACGAAGCCATCCGGAATTTTGCAGCTTGTCTGGACTAGACTCATCTCGCCATGAGCTCGGTACCGGAAGATGTCCTCGCCAGCTAGCTTGTTCAGCTTGCTGAGGAAAGGGAGCACCACCAGGCCCAAACCCAAGACAGCGGTGCCAGCAGCCAGGACAGGATCTGCGTAGTTGATGATCAAGCCTCAGAGGTGCAAAGGGCTCGCAGGAAACAACAGTGACCAGAGCAACGTGAGCAAGGCCCGAAAATCCCGAACTATGTCCGGATACCCCAAAGCAAATCAAACGAATCTCGCTGCCATCGTGTTGCTCATAGCGCTGGACTGCGCCTTGTCTGCTGTCATGGAGCCATCATCGAACAGCATCAACTCGCCTGAAAGCACAGATCGGACCTCCTTTCGAAATGCAGTGCAAGACAGGCGCACTGCCATGATGTGCATTTGGAGACTCTTCTGATGTGTTCGGCGGGCCTCCCGGCTCGGCCTTTGGCTGCTCATCATCTTTGGGATTCTGATCCCCCCCCATTTCCGCCTCGCCCATGGCTTGAATCGCCAGCCACTGCTCGGTCACACAAGATAGGCTGGTCTCGCTGATTGTCGCTACTTTCCCTTGGTTAACATGCCAGCTACCATTCAGACATGGTTTCGGAATGTCACAACCTGTCTAGGACTGGCGCCATGCAGCGCAGCTAAGCTGCAGGATCGGATATGCGCATGAAATTGCTGGGGGTCCCATCGGCCAAATGGCCGCGTTTTGTCTCTCTGTTTCTTTACTTTCGAGGGCTCTGTCTCTCGCGCTTTGTCTGCCGAAAGTCCCAGGTTCCTGCAGCAAGCGTTCTGTGCAGAACCATGAATCAAGAAATCCTTTTTTTGTGTCCATTCTGCTGCTCCTCCACTAGCTTTCTGCTCTTCAGCTTGGCCCCCGAGCTCCGTTGATGGCGGCTCCGCCTCCGCCCTCCGGCTCCGCTATTCAACACATCCCTATACTGATCTTCACAAACAGGCAGACAAGGGAGGCTTGGTGTGAGATGGAAGGAGGGAGGGACAAGAGAAGCGGCTCGAACCGGATCTCTTTATCACAATCTCACCCGGCCTGTATGTGGGATTGCAGACGCGTCTGCCTAGCGCATCATGCCATCAGGCGTCAATTGCTGAATCCTGTTCGGTGGCGGTTTGGCCCGGCACCCGCGTGGGATCAGGCCCAGCAAGGCTGTAGGCTCCAAAAGGTCGACTACCTAGCGGATTGCCGAGTAACAATGCATTGCCTCCATGCGCAAGGATTTGCGAGTGGACCTGCGTGAGAACCCTGAAGCTGCCGCTGATGCGATGCGATGATGACTGCAGGAACTCTTTCTGAATCAAGCCTTAGCCTTAGCCTGTTTCCCCCCCCTCCCTTCATGGCAACACGGTCCTCTGGTTGCTAAACCCTCAGATGGAGTCGTCGAAAGACTTGCCCAAAGAACACATGCGCGAGCTTGTCTCCAAGCAAGAGTCCGCGCGACTCAGTTCTCCAGAAGAACAAGAAAGCGGCCGCTTATCTCGGCAAAGCCGAGGGCTTTCATTTCTAAATTAGGGTTGCCTGCCGCAAGACTGCGTATTTCAACGGAAGAAGCAGCGCAAAACCCCAAACCCCAGAATGAAATGAGGGCCTCTCAGTTCTCGAGTTTAACTCTCAAGCGTGGGACAGCGGATTCGTCCCAGCGCACTTCCCTCAACCATTGACCGACCGTACCCGGAGTATCCAGGCCGTGAAACAACCATTTCTTCTTCAGCGGTCGCACTGTAAAACACGATGCCAAGTAGTCAGACTAGCTGTAGCACTTGGGCTGATGCCAGCGCCAGGTCACCGGCTGTCATGCAATTCAGGAGCTCTGCCTGGAGAAGGCGAACAGTGTGCATTCCCATGCAGGTTTCTCAGGATGCTTGCGCCAGCTGGGTTGCAAGCAGCAGTGGCCACTGCATCTTTTGTGTCCATGGCTGAAGTCGTGGGGACGGCCAGAAACTGCTGACCCTCTCCAAGACCGAACTTAAAACTCAGCAATGACAATCTCAGCCGGTTGCTAGAACTGCAAAATTTGCTACTGCACCCCCGCATCTGCGTTACAATTGGGCAGTCATGGCACTCGTTTCTGCCCGGGCAATCTCCCTACAGGAATAGAGGCCGAGGCGGCAACATGTGAGCACGAGGTCTCTGCACAGTCGTGAGGGTAGGCTTTGGAACCAGGACTGCCGTCACGATCCGTCACGGAAACCAAGAAACTCGTAACAACCGGACAAGCTTGCGTGCAAAGAACTTTTTCAAGAAGGCATCTTCAGCCGCACATGTCTCCAGCAGCCAATCTTGTCCTGGCAACACACGCAGCTGTGCTGAGCTTCTACCCTTGAGACACGTCAAAAACCGAAATTGTGCCAGGTTTGCGGAACCCGCCCTTCAGGTGAACAAGACCAGGGGGTGCGCCACCCACGCCGCCTTTCAGTTGTCGGAGGTGCTCGGCTCATATGAACCGCGAGATGCATAATGTGGCCTTCAGCACCTTGCCGAAAGAGAGATGCTAGACACAAAGACCTGGCCGGCACAATGTCCAAACGCTCCGAGGTCTAGTTTCTGCTCACTTGCTTGGCAGATGCGATCGGGGCACACTGCGGGGACTTCGGACTCTGGTTGCAGATTTGCCTCAGTGTGGCTCGAATCTCACTCTGCACCTCTCTGTTCTCTCATTCTTCGTGGGTTTCTTCTTCTGCTTGTCTTTGGGGGACCATGGCGCGTGGAGGAGCCAAACGTGCTTGCTCCTGTTTGAGTCGGACAACTTTGAATGTGGGTTTGGAGCAGCGCACACAGGGTCTTTCCACGAGAGCTTGCTTCACCTGTCCATACTCGTGCCGCACTGCACGCTGCCGATGTCCCTTTTTCCTCTTTCATCAACGAGGGTCGAACCTTGGGAAGTGAGGCTGTGCGCCGCGCGTACCCAAAAGGATCTCTTCTATTCTTGTGCTCTTTTCAGTGGTTTCGTGGACACGCCCCTTTAGCGTGCTGCCGCTCATGGCTCCGCCAGCTCTTGTGGATTGGAATGGCTGCCTTTGATGTTGTGCTACCTTTGTGGCTGCCGCGCTGAAAGCAGCCAAGGCCCACCTCGAAATTCTAAGGTCATCCAGGCTTTTGCGTGTTGTTGATATCGCTGGTGTCGTTGCCATCATCGCGAACACGACAAACAAGTCCCCCATACCCAGCGACAATCCAGCAGATGCACCCCTTCAGGCTTGCACTGAGCCCCCCGAACGTTTTGCATAATTTGACTGCGTGGTTCACGACGTTCACGAAATTCCACGCACAGCGTGGACCTGTTGGCCCTGTTCAGCCTTCTGGCCACATGGTGTAGGGAAGGGAGGTGTGTCAAGACAGGGCCGCAAATGGCCACATCCCCCCTTCTGCCCCAGAGGGTAAGTTCTGCCACTTCCTGCTCACATCCCAACGCTCTCTGACATGCTGCTCGTGGAATTCGTACACTCCGGTATAGGCCCCTCCGCAAGTACCTTTACCAGGGCTTCCGGAAGAGCCACGTTCTTTTCTTAAGGAGAGCCCACTTGGCACAGTTGTCACACAGTCAGAAGTCCTATCCAGCTCCTACGAGTACGACAGCTCTTCATGAGCCTTTAGTCATCAGAATCGCCTTAATCGGCTCTCTCCTCCTTTTCGTCGGTGCTTGTAAGTGCCCCTCCTAGGACAGTGGGGACCCCCCTTTTTCTTTTTTTGGCGATATCTCTGTCGTTGTGACGATCTCATCTTGCAGAGACTCTCTCGAATATCCCCTCAATTCCCCAACATCCAGCCAAAGGCCATCTTTTCTATTCTGCCGACGCAATGGTACGAGGTCGGCCAGCTTGGTTCAACTAAGCCTGTAAAAACAAATGCTCAGTCAAACGGCATCATGTCTCTCGCCTCATCCAACATTCTTATGCGTTGCTACATCGGCCCAGGAGCTCCTGTGGCTCGAATCGCAAGCAAAGCGGCGCGCGCTTTGAGGTGCAGGGCACGCTTAGAGTTTAACCAGACTCCCTGCGGAGCCAGATGGACAAAAGCAAATCATACAGGACCAGGGCTTACAAGCCGTAAGCGTCACACTCCAAGACTACACATGGCATTGCAAGCATGGCGTGGAAAAGACATTGCTTAGCGGAAGAGTGTTGATTGGAGGCCTGCTGCCTGAGTGTGGCATTCGTGATCGACTTAAGCCGCCTCTAACAGCTCCATCTTCTGGAGATTAGAGATTCGCGGCACAACGACACAACGTATTACATCATGGCGCGCGTCAGGCCTGGCAAGGTGCAACTCAAGCCTCTGCCAAACTTTTGGTCGAAGATTTCCGGTACTAGTAACAGTCCCAATGAAAGCCAGACCAATAGCTGCCATCCAATCTAGCCGAAGCAAGTAGGGCGTCCCATGTCTTAGACATGGGCCCACTCAGCTCGTACTCCAGCAAACCCAAACACGTGACATCAACCTCGGTTGCCTAATTCGCTTGCTCATGGCAATGTGTTGTATCTCTTGGCTTTCCAAGATGTCAGTGCTGGGATGCGTTTCTGCGATGCAGCGTGCAGGCTGCCGTTCCAGGATGTCCAATGACTGCATCCAGCAACTGAGCAATTGAACGATCTTCCTCCGGAAAATCTCTCAGCCACCATCTGAATTCCGACAGAGCACGAAAAACACTTAAACACATTCACCATGCATAGCAGAGGCGGTGTGCCAGCGGCGGCCTGCGTCAGCTTGCGGCTGGGTAGTCTTTCCAATGGCAATCAAAAGATGGATTGCGCCTTAGGTCCTGGACCTCGTGTCGGACCTGGTCGGTCGCTCTTCCCACAGGTGCAGCAATTGGAAGTGCTGGAAGTGTTGGAAGTGCGCGCGCGACTTTTGTAAGCAGCCAGCACTTCCGGCAACACTCCTCGGAGTTTTGACGCTCGTCCTCCAATCGCCTCATGCAACTTGAGTTGCACTGGCGTGTTACATCTCCATTGGTCGCTGGGTGTGCGGCTGCCAAGCGCCCCAAAGGAAGCGAGCGACTTGGCTGGGCCTGCCGGCGGGTTGAAGATCATGAAACACGAAGCCAAAATCTGTTGTGACCATCTGATCTAACATGCAGCAGAGTTGCAGCTTCAGGGCCGCCATCTCGTGCACGCATTCGTCGAGAACTGGCTCTGCTGTCTCCACTGACAGTACCTCAATCAAAGTTGCGGCAAGGAACCCAAACCCCGGGGCCTTAAGTGCACCCTCGAGTGATTTGTCGCCATCGCAGCATCACAGCACACTGCAAGGGATGCCGGGCACACCGCCAGTCCACCGCAGCACATCCGTCTTCCCAAAATGTTAGTTTTCTTTTTTCGCGGGAGGGGGGAGGGAGGGTGGGGGGAGGGGGAGGGGGGAGGGGGAGGGGGGAGGGGGAGGGGGGAGGGCGGAAAAAAATGATATTGTTAATCTTTAATGCCCTGAGCGCATTCGGCCTGTCGAAATCTCGGCATCTTGCACTGCCCTCGCCGCCTTGCACC